AAAATCCATTCCAAAGACTAGCCACGAAAATTCTTACTATCCACTCTCATTGCGTGTTTACCTCCTCCTTGCCCTGTCCGCACGCACCCAGCAAACCTCTGGGCACTAATCCCAACCCTTCCCGAGACCGTTCACTGCTGCGAACATACCCCGCACCCAGAAATCAAGGCTGAACCCCTCTGGCTTCACAGCAACTGGGCTCGGCACCGTGGTCTGCAATAAAGCCACTGCTCTGGGGCTGGCCACCCCTCCCTGGGCCACAGCAGGCACCACAGGCGGCAGCGAGCTTTTCCAGATGCCCCAAGACCTGCCGAGGAGCGTGCGGTTCCTCAAGCACACGCACTCTCACCGTTGTTTTTATCCGAGCGTTGCGGGTGGCTGTTGACAGGACTGGGCTCGCCGTGGGTAGCCCAGCGGGTATGGGCGATTCCAAGGTGTACGTCAAACTCGATGTCGAGGTCCATGTCCTGTTGCTCTGCAGAAGAAGCAGAAGTTTTTAGTATGGAGGGGCTGTCCCTACCCTGAAGTCGACGTGGGAGTCTTGTCCTCCGGGGTCCGCAGGACAGCAATACTGACACGGAGACAGAATCAGCAAACCCAACAAACCATCAAGCATGTTTTCAGGGGATTCAGAAGCAACCTCCCTGCATTCCTCACCCCACCAAAATAAAAGATAACTTTCTAGAAAGAATCCAACCTTAATTCTTCTCTCAGGGTGCCCCTTGTCATCCTGTCACCTGCTGCACGTTGTCAGCTGTGACTGAACCAGCCCATTTCATGGCTACATACCACTGTGGTTGGAGTATGTCTCCCAGAAGGCATACCGTTAGCATTAGTACGTCTTTGAGAAAAAAGATTCCTTTTGTTCCACAAGTACCCCCACAACCTCTTTAAAACTGTACGTCCTGCAATTTTCTTGAGCAGGCAAACATTTCTTCAGAAATATTTTGTATATCTTCTGTTTCTGTAGTGCACACACCACCTCACCGGGCCCTTTCGGGTCCTGGTTTTCTCTACACCGAGATTAGATGTACCCACCTTGCTTTTGGACGAAGAGCACCCTGCGCCGTGAGCTAACACTAGCATGGGTTAAAAAAAGTGAAGTTACAACAACCCAGCGGCTCTTGAATGCAAACTAGAGATCCTGACTCCTCTGAAAAGCCTCTTCCCCTTCTCACACAGCTTACCTGCATTCCATGCCCAACAATGCTGTGGTTCTTTGCCTTGTGCACAGATTTAATGAACTCAACATTTAAATCAAGAGAACATCATGAAGAGGCAGAAACAGAGGCAGAAGACGTCACTGTCTGCGTCCTCATCAATTTGACAGTTACACACACACGTTAGCATGTAGCGGCTCAGCCCATCACTGCTGGGACGGGCAGCTGTACCTGGGACAACCACTACAGGTGAAAGTTTAAAATTCAACTGGTGAAGTTATTAGAGCATTTCTCTTTTTTTCCCAAGCTCTAGGTCTCTGATAATTGTCTCCCAGTAATTCCCTTTTCCCCCGTTTAAGGAGGTTTTTGTTTGTTGGGGTTTTTTTCATCTGTTTTCTAAAATTTATTTCAGATCTATTTTACTTTAATAGGATGCAATTCATTTGTCTTGCGAAATCAAGACTTCTCGGTAACTTCACGCCAACGTCCAAAGGATCACTGGGTTCTTCTCAGCACACACATGACTCTCTACATCTCTGGCGCTTTATACACAAGTTATTTGGAAAGACAATGTTTCTGGGTAAAAGAGGTGATATGCAAAACACAGATGAGATGAGATGAGAAGAGATGAGATGAGATGAGATGAGATGAGATGAGAGGACATTTCAAGGCAAGAGAGCAGGCAGAGACCAAAGGGGAAATACATACTGTGAACCTCCTCGTCCAGAGCCTTCACTTTCCCCTTCTGTTTGATAAGCTGGATTTTGCAAGCATTAGCCTCCCAGTCTTTGTCGTTTCCGCCATCGATTCCCAGAAGTGCAGAAAGTATACTACAGATTTTATGTAAACAAATAGTGCCGATTATTTCCTTTCTCCCCCAGGCTGATCCTCCCAAATAAAGGCAAGAACCCCCTTAGATTAGAAGTGAATTTTCCCTTTGTCATCTTGTAGGTGTTTTTAAAGCCTCAGATAACAGGCGTTAAGAACGTTTATAGAAATTTGTATATTAAAAGTTAACCCAAGCTTCTGACCACATGATCACAGGCGCACCCAGTTTGTGTTTCAGCTTTCTTCAAAAGCAGAAGACAGTAGAAATCATTCACAAACACACCATGAAAATCATCATTTAGAAGGCAAAACTCAAAAAAGAACCACTGTGGCTTGGAGAGAGCTACCTGCAGAGTCATAGCCTCTGTACTCCAGCCGCTGAAGCCCTTTGATAAGGGTCTCCAGGATGTCCCGTCTTGTCCGGGGAACATGGTAGTTCAGGTACGCAAAGATGCCTGTATGGTGGAAAAGAGCACAATCTTACAACAAAGTCACAGCTGAGGAAACTCTGTACTTGCCATCTACTCAATACGCGCACTAAGTTACAACTTGAACAAGCCTTTGTACTGGGAACCCCCTGCAGGAAGGTACCACCACGTCTGCAGCTCTTCCTCACCCCGCCTGAGCTCCAATGGAGAAGATGTCACTAACATTTCAGAGATCGAAACTAACCACAAAATGCCAGCATCCTTCTCATGACACCGAAAGCAACTGAACAGGACAAGCCAGGGTGTGACAGGAGAAAGAATTGCCACGTGAGCTGGACTTACACGACAGAACGAGCTGTCAGGAGACAATGCAGGGCACAAGAAACTAATCACTCCGGCAAAAAATTCAAGGTTCACTAATGCTGAGTTTTGCGTGCTCAAGAACCATCTCCAAAAGGAATTCTTCCTTGAATAGCTTTCTCTAAGTTCCTCCCACAGACTCACTAAGAAAAAAATAATCATTTAACTCATGCAAACGAACACCCTCAAACTAATGGAGCTATTTTTCCTGTAGGTTGCAATGGAAGATAAATTGTTGCTTCTATTTTTATGCAGTGATGGGGACACACGAATTCCTAGATCTCTAATGCCAATGATGGCTCTATTTCAGAAAGATTTCTTTTGGTGCCACCCTGAAGCAGTAGCATGAGAAGACATTTACAGGATGCTAGAAATATCTGCACTTGAAATCTACCGTTTCACCCCATCTAACTTTTTAAAGGAGAAAAATATCTGCAAGGAATAAAAGCAAGACGGGTTTCACACAAACATCCGTATACATGACCGGTAGTTCAGGGTCTGTAATTTGAGAAACTTTATCTAAACCTCTTGAGGAGAACAGAGTTCTCTCACACACACGCAAAACCAAAGTCCTTTTAAAGGCATCCCAAATCTTTGATTGTTTTTCCTGATAGTACTGCCATGCCATCCAGCCGGCCCCACAGTTCCCAAACTTTTATTCATGTGAAAAGTTTTACTGCCAAGATGATTTTTGGAACATGTATCTTTATGTTTACATACAGATTATTTTAAAGAACATTTGAAAAACTGCATTCTTAAACTGTTTGAGTTTTGGAATTAAACTAAATAATTCAAAGCTTTTTGATGTCTTTGTAAGTAGAAATATGGGCGACTCAGAGTTGATGGAGGCGCTGAATGCCACCCAGCAAAGTGCTGAAACATTTACAAGGGACTTTTTAGCCTGAGCAGGGACAACAAGGTCGTACGCAGCCATGTACCATTCTGACACTCTCTCATTCCTTTTCCCTTTTCCATGAACTTTGGCTCCAGATCTCAGGGCAAGTTTGTCATAAACCACCTCCTGTTCCCACAGCACCAGCACTACAAGTTACAACTCCCTCCTGCCAAAAGACCACACCGCGTCTCACTTATCTTCTTCCATATTGCTAGAAAAACACAGATGCATGTTCTATTGTTCCTCTTTCTAAAACCATCTAGTCAGACAAAAGGAGGGAAAAAAAAGGAGCTTTTCACTTGGTTTCTTTTGCTTCTACCTTCGCTTGCCCCAAACCCAAGGCCTTCTGTGATAACCACTTGTAAGACTATCAGGACCACGTTAATAAAAATTTGCAGTTTCACTTCCATTGCTCCTGCCATCGCAAACCAACCACGCTCACACGCCTGCTGCTGCCATCTCCTGATGGCATTTGTTCAGCTTGAACCTCGGCTCCAGTAACTACATGGCCACGGTGAGGTCTTCCTCCACAACCCTCGCAACTCACCGCTAAAAACTCAACAGATAATAAAACACCAGCAGCAGTTAACAGCCCTGCTGTCTTTCAAAAGCTTCCTCTTGAAGGACACTTCCCCCACGTCCTCAATCTCCAAATCGTCCTCCCCACCCTTCTGGCAAAAATAAAGTTTTCCAATTTGAGATACTTAGTTCACTCTGTTTCTAAAAACTGCATTCTTCAGGCAAACAGCAGCCTCCCTGTTTACAAGCGAACCGACTCCAAATAGCTGTCAGCCAGGCTGCAGGATGGCACATTTCAGCTACATCCTGGATGCCTGAAATCCTTTAAATGACTTCCAGGTCTGACAACAGGAGTACAAAGCAGAGCGCTTAATTAGCTGGCAGCTGGAAAAGTCCCGTCCCCCCCCCCATATTTACCAGAAACCTCCCAAACAGACCCCCGACGCAGCACAAAAAAATAACAAGCGTGTACCATAACGCAGAGAAAACAGGCACGCGAGATGTCTTTAAAAAGGCCGGCTGGGCTCCAGCACTTCCCCGCACGTCCCTTCACACCAAAGCCACCTACCACGGCATCCAAAGTTAAGCTACTGCAGAAGGCGTAATTATGACCAGCAGGGGTAATTACGGAAACATGAATGCTGCTTACAGTTTTCCAAATTAGCTAAATAATTTCAGAGTTGAAACCTCTCTCTGTGTTTTACGTACCCCGGAAGCACACGCCAAGGGTCCCATTCCCACCCAAATCCCGGAGCCTTATGCCTCTTTTGCTGGTGCCGGCATTAGCTGGGCCCGTCAAACAGCTCTCCAGGAGCACCTACAACCTCTGCATCCCCTGGGTGGCACTCCCGCCACCTTGCCACAGCATAACCAGTCCCACTCGGGCATACAGCTACCCAGGAAGTTATCCCACTACCACGGCGCAACACCAAAGGCCACTCAAGTGGGATTTGCTCTTTCGAGCAAACAGAGACTGATAAGGAGCGTTACGGTGCTCTGGAGTTTGAACATCTGGCTGGCCGTGGTGAGGCAGTTCCTGGGAGTCCTTCCCAGTGAACAGCAGCAGCATGAGAGGCACAAGAGCCTCACTGACGGGAGCACAGAGAATCAGAGAACCATTACGGTTGGAAGGGACCTGTAAGATCATCGAGTCCAATCGTAGAGCCAGCACTGCCAAGTTACTACAAAACCACGTCCCTCAGCGCCACATCTACATGTCTTTTAAACCCCTCCAGGGATGGCGACTGCACCGCTGCCCTGGGCAGCCTGTTCTGACACTTGACTTGACAAGACTTTCTGTAAAGAAATGTTCCCCAATACCCACCCTAAACCTCCCCTGGCACAACTTGAGGCCATTCCCTCTTGTCCCATCGCCTGTTCCTTGGGAGCAGAGACCGCCCCCCCCTCGCTGCCCCCTCCTCTCAGGGAGCTGTAGAGAGCAGAAGGTCTCCCCTCAGCTCCTCTTCTCCAGGCTGAACACCCCCAGGGCCCTCAGCCGCTCCTCACCAGACGTGTGCTCCAGACCCCTCACAGCTCCGTCGCCCTTCTCTGGACACGCTCCCGCCCCTCAGTGTCTGTCTTGTCGTGAGGGAGTATGTGAGGTGGGGCCTCCCCAGTGCCAAGTACAGGGAAACAGTCACTGCCCCAGTCCTGCTGGCCACACTGTTCCTGATACAGGCCAGGATGCTGTTGGCCTTCTTGGCCACCTGAGCACATGAAGAAGTGCCCTGGTGGCCAAGGAGGAGGCCTTCTTCACCGGCAGGGTGTCCCACTGAGCGACTAGGGGGCAAAAATGGAACAGGCTGTCAAGGCGGCATGCAGTGGGTGCAACAGAGACACCGTAACGTTTGGGGAAGGAACTGTGTGCAAAAGGTACGGTGTGTAGGGGAATACGCCAAGAAGGGAGAAGAAAAGAGGACTGTAGGAAAGGTGGAGGGGGAGTAGTGTAGGTTATCGTAGGTAGTCTGCTCTGCCACCTTACAGCCCGCCTTTGCTGCCCACCAGCACCTCCAGCTGCTCCAAGAGCACGCCGGAGGCGGGTGAAGGCGGCCCTCCCCTGTGCCCAAGGGACATCAGGCATCACCCCTGTAACGCGACCAGGCACGCACCTATGAAACACCCGACTTATTTCCAGGCTGTGACACTGCATTTCAAACGAGGGTATTTTCCACTGAAGTAGAGACTGGGGGGGCCCAGCGCGGTCGTCTCAACGGCCCTGCAGAAAGCCCAGAGCGCGTGTCCCCTCCTAAACACCCCATCACCACATCTGAAAAAAGGTCTAACTCAACAGATGGGCACAATTGTTCGGCTGAAACTCAGTTTCCTTTTGTTAAATATTTTTGTAAATGCGAATTGATCGTTTTAGTCTCCACCCTGCTTCCCGCAGAAGGATAGTAACTTATTCTGAACCAAAAAAAATGGATTAAAACCAGAACTCCAGCCAGGGCTGACTTCAGACATCTTTGTTAAATCTGAATCCAAAGCAGACAGTGGCTTGAAACGCTATTTTCTCTGCACATTTTAAACAAGTTTAGTCACACCTGAACTAAACAAACAAACAAAAAAAACCCAACAAAAAAACACCAACAAACCAAAACCGGAATCCCTGTCACAGATCAGAACTGCCAGCAGTTTACAGCAAAATGCCGTATACTGAACGGGCACAAAGCAGAAACCAACTTCCTCCAGGAAGGGATGGCTCACCTGGAATGAGACTGAAAAAGTTATTTCTACTTATACGGTAAACAAACAGAAAACATCTATGTAGAAAGGAGCCAACTTGGCATTAGTCTCAGGCACTGAAAAAAAAAATCTAGTAATTACAGCACAATTATATTAAGATTATTCATGAGGGCTGCAAAAATAAAATCAGAATCTAAGACTAAGAACGCCACCAAGAAAAACCCCAAAACTCAAACCAAAGCCAAAGGAATTCAGCACTGCTCACCAGAAAACACAGAGACTATGAAAACTAAACCAACAAAAAGAAATGCAAATACAATATAGGTGCTGGAAAATATGCAGACACGCTCTTTACAAAAGACGACCGTGTAAACACTGGGAGACTCGGTTTTGATTCAGTTCAGCTTTTCGATCTCAACAGGAGAAGAGCTGGAGTGGTAGTGAAGGTGCCACTAAGAAAATAAAATTCTAAGAACTCACCTGTGAGCAACACATTTTACAAATGAGAAGGCAAGTAGGACATGCGGGTTTAACACCCTCCTTAGTGAAAACAGAAAAAAAATGCAATAAAAATAAATAGTATGTAAAAATGATGTGTAATTAAAGTAAAAATTGGGACAATAAAGCCAGTGAAAAT